TAGGCTTTAGGGTTTAGGGGAACCCTTTGTCCAGAGCGCCTCAGTCACCGTCCTGGAACCTCCGGCTTCCTCCTACGTCTTCCTGCACTATGATCGAGCTTCCAAAATTTCGGGGCATAAGGCAAAAGGCGTCAAGATGAGGGGCAGCGCATTTTCTAAGAACCCGTCCCAGAATCGACGCCCGCATGCCCAAGACCCGAAACGCTGGATCCCGGAAGCCCAAATGGAGTAATCACGAGAAATATGAGAGTCTTGGGCTTTAGGGGCTCAGGGTTTAGGGCTCAATATTATATTAACCCTAAACCCTAAACCCTAAACCGAATATTCGGAGCTTCGGATTGATGCCCGAAATCCTCGGCATCATGGGCTCCGGGCTCATCGGACGGGGCGCACTCGTGGAAGAGCGGCGCCTCCTTCGGCGCGGCGTGTTCAACAAAGGAGTGACAGAATTTATAATATAGGGCTTCGGAGTATAGTCTACTATCATTATTATTATCAGAAGGAATCCCCAAAATTAGTATCGTGAACGAGCAATGCTCGGCCCAGCCCTTGGCCCTTACCGGGACCCGCAGGAATGGGCCCTAAGTGGAGATCTCTCAGACTTCGTGTGTGCGGAGTTTCCTATTGCTTGGGTTTAGGGTTTAGGGTTTAGGGTTTAGGGTTTAGGGTTTAGGGTTTAGGGTTTAGGCTTGGTCCACAATACGAGGTCACCCATGTTGCCAGCACAAAAAAGCCGGAAAACCTACTTGGGTTGGGAGGGAAGGCGACTTCACGGGGTGAGGGCGACCGGTAATTTCCAAAGGGCTGAAAGCTGAAGACCGGGGCCCCCAGCCTGATTCAAGGTTTAGGGTTCAGGGTTTAGGGTTTAGGGTTTAGGGTTTAGGGTTTAGGGGGTTTAGGGTTTAGGGTTTAGGGTTTAGGGTTTAGGGTTTAGGGTTTAGGGCTACAAGCGACGCGCAGGGTCAAGGCTTTAGAGCTTCTGACTGTAGGGTAAACGAAGGCTTCGGGCTTCTTCCGGGTCCCACTGCTTCGGCTACTGCGGAACACCTCAGAAACCGTTGCAGTAGCCGTAAACCCGATTAACATCCCTTGGCTCGTAGAACAGACTCGACTAAAACCCAGAAAACTCGAAGATTTGGAAGTTTACCTCAACTACATTCAACTACCAAAGCAAGAGAGTCGGAAGGACACATCCTCAACCCTGAAGCTCAAGCCCTAAAGTGGTCATGCCCACGAAGTCTCCAAGCCCAAAACTCCAAGCCTCAAGAGATGGAACCTTAATCCTATATCAAAGCTGAAGAATCCCAAGCCAACATCGTCACCCCTTACGTCCCACATCCTAAACCCCGAAGCCAAGATCCTGCACCCCCTGAGCCCTAACTTAAGCCGCAGCAATCAAGCCGGCTCTACGCAGCTGCCGGCTCTGCCCGCATCGGGGCTGACACAGCCTGGGAAGGTTTAGGGTTTAGGGTTTAGGGTTGAACACCGTTCGATGTGGCGTGGGCTTAGGCGGTTTACAAGTTTCAGGAACAAGGCATTACGGCTTCGGGCTCAGGGTTGAAGGTTGGTTGATTTCCAGGGCTTACAGCTTTCGCGGGCTTCAGGTTTTGTAAGTAAGGTTTCAGGGCTTAGGGTCGGGAGTCTACCTGGACCACGACGAAGACGAGGAGTTTACAGAAACCTTCATAAGTTGTATGGGGCCGGGTTGTGTTTCGGGTGACGACGACTTCCCAAAAAGCCTACGCAACTTGAGCGTAAATCAATTCCAGGGTTCACATCCGAAACCGATAAGAAACTGAAGAAAAGCAGCACACTTAGCAATAGGTCAAGCCCGAGTAGTGTAACAACCCGGAATCAGCCCCAATAAAGTTCAGGCCCACGGGACGTCAGGCTCATACCACGACGATAACCGTCCTCACTATGATGAACATCGTCGTCAACATCATCAAAAAAGATAAGCATCGTCATCTCAGTATGCTCAAAACAGACACCAGCAGCAGTCGCTGCATCAAGATGCATCATCATCAACATGCCAGCAGTACTATCATGGGTACCTTCATCAAATATTACCGCCGTTCATGCTTCTCGCAAGCACCACGGTCATTCTCTCTACCACTCACCATGACCCTATGATCGTTGTTACATGCAATGAAGACTTCAAGGGTTTAGGGTTTAGGGTTTAGGGTTTAGGATTTAGGGTTTCATGCAAAGTCAATGACATGCCTATGCCCGAAGCCCCCTTCTCCGAGGGCCCCAGGCTGGAGACGCAAGCCTGGCCCATCTCCTGACACCTGCACACAAGGGCTGAGCAGGCCCACTTGGATGTTATTTGAGGTTTGTGCTTTGGCTTCAAAGATTTTGGGGTTTTAGGGTCTTAGGGCTGGTTTGTACTTTGGCTTCAAAAACTTTGGGTTTTTAGAGCCTTAGGGCTTTAGCACTTTGGTTTGGGGCAAAAACTTTGGGTTTTAGGGTCGTAGGGCTTTAGCACTTTGAGGTTTGGGGTGACTTTCGAGCTTCAGGTTTTGCACTAGGACTTGTGCTTTTCAGCTTCGGGGCCTCGGAATCAAGGAGTCTGGGATGCTTGGACTTATTTGAGAGCTTCCGAAAATAGGGTACCTTATTTTGGGGTCCTTATAATAAGGATCCTACTGTTTAGGCTATATTAGGGTCCCCTATTTTCGGAAACTCCCATTTTGCTGGGGTTAAGGATGGCACCAGGAGACCCGTAAACCCCAAACTGAAACTCCTAGCGGCCCTCCACCCGAAACCAAGGGTGAGGGCCCGATCGAAAGGCTCCGACGCGGCTGCGACTCCGGTTCTGTAGGTTTCAGCAATCCAGAATCGGAAGGCTGGGACCTGGAGTAGCTCAGAGCTCTAGAGCCGAGATGTAAAGAAATCCGGATTCCCAGGGTTGGTTTCCGGCTCTTTGGGGGTTTATGGTGCAGATCTTTGGGAAAACAGGGCACATGCTTTGGGGGGGTTATTTCTTGGGATGCGCTGTAGACCTCACGCTTGCTGTGGATTTCCAAGGTCACAGCCGTGAGGCTAAACTCGGAACCCAAGGCCCGAGTCCAGATGGCCTGGGGTCGCTAAGCCTGATTCCTCAGTTTTTTTTTCTCCTAGGTCGTTAAACCAACTCGGCTAGCTTGTGTTCCGTAACCTCAAGCCCGAAGCCCTAAACCACGCAAGCACGGACTAATCGCACCTCTGCCAGCTCGGGATGGCGGCGAACGTAACAAGGCACGGACTAGGACTAGTGACTCGGGCTTTCGTTTCGGCCTTGACGACCTTAAACGGAACAACAGTCAGACTAGCAACTGCACATGGCTTCGAGCTAAGAAATTACGACCCACTTGAGTTTGGGTTCAGAGCTGGGTTCAGACATTTCGATCCAAAGTTACTGGATCTGCCATTGTCCTTCGGCTTGTTGCTTTTGCTCTTCGTGTCCACATGCAACAGGTCCATCAATAATAAAAACCATTCATTCAACACCCGTTCCGCCTGAGCCAAAGAGCAGTAGAAAAATGAATGCTGTCCAAACTGGCCGAAAGCTGCAATTCAGAAGTGAGGTTTTAAGCAACAATGATTTGTTTTCTTGGTGCTGCCACGTAGAGTGGAGTGATTGGTTCGTTTTTCGTTGTGGTACATGTGATTTGGAGGATGTTCTTTGCAAGTCGTTTTGTTGGTAGGATGCGACCACATCCACATGGGCGCAAACTCCGGCAAGGAAGTTCTCAAAAGTATTGGCTGTCACTGATTGTCGCGGCCTCTTGACCAAGGAAACATCCACGAAAACGCACTGGCAACCGAGGAAAGTCGTAACTCTGACACATGGCAACAACCAATCCGCTTTAATAAGGCACAGTCAAGGCAACATTGGTGTGTTTTAAGATTGACCGTCTGTGTGAATACACTCGGCGGTGGGGTTTACGTCGGTCTGGGTCGTTTTTTGGCTTTGAAGCGCTGCACGGTAGCCGAACGTTGCGAAGGTCAGGACGTGCGTCTTGCGGGGCAACAAAAAGCAACTCGTTAAACGATCCTATGACTTCGTTAGAAAAGGACTCGCATCGCCCCGAAGGGCCAGCATGCGACCCAGGTCCTCCGGCCCGTAGGCCCAAGCAGGGACAAAAGCACAGCCATGGAAAGAATCATGATATTTGCGACAGAGCGTATCCGCAGGTCTGAAATCGATGTCAGTATCAGCCTTTTGTCTGACTTGGGACTACGAATCACTCATACATGAACATGGCATCATTTCAAGCTTCAAAGTCTATCCCAGACCCAGAGAAGTATCGGACGCCTGAACGTGTCAACAACTGGCTGCAGTTGTTGGAGACGCCAATGCCACCAAAAACCAGAGGACCTAAACATGACACAATAGCCAGTAACAGTTTCATTGGCTGTTCCAAAATAGCGGCACATGCAAAAGCAAAGTGACTGTAACGCACATGTCAGCTGGCTGCAACTGGTAGTCATGAAACGCACAGATGCTACCAAAAGCAAATTGGATGTTACGAGTTGTGCAGCTATGACAAGAGTGAAGCATAAGGTCCACATCATCATGGCACAGGTGCATTTTTCGAAGACAACAAAAAGTGTGTCTCAAGTAGAAGTTTGCAAATTTGTCACAATGACCATTGACAGTCATACCCGATGAGAGCACTGCAAATCAACAACCATGGCTCATGACAAGTGTCCAGTCCTACAAAGACGAGTGCGGCAAAACGATGACACCACTAGCACCAATGACTGTAAGCAGCACAACACAACAAAGAGCAGACTTGATTATGCCGCAATCCAGTGTACAAATTATCTTGCCCAACGTGCCGGCTGTCTTAGCAATGCACTTGAGAAAAAAAGCACAGCAACTCCTTTCAACATCGTTCCACCCAGAATATTACTGTGAACTGCAGCGCTGATGGATTGTTCGACAACCAACTCAGCAAAAGCTGCAAGCTCAGTACGAACCAGTTTCACCGGAAAACAAAAAAGTGATGAGGCTCCGGGCACTTAAGTCCAAACGTCCATGCACCGTGCATCCACGGACCTGAGCCCCGCTTACTTGCAGAATCCTGATTCGTGCCGCTTTCTGATTGAAGTTGCGAGGCCTGCCTGCCAAGGGGGTTATTTGCAAGCGCAGGATGGCCACACACGTGAAGGCCGCGATGGAAGATCGCCTCTCACGCTTCTTTTCGTCTTAAGACTTCATGACACTTGCAAGGTGTGCCAAAAAAAAACCCTCCTAACGGAAACATCGCCCTTCGCGCCAGTAACCTCGTCGCAAAGCGCTCCCAACCCCTCCAACACCCTCAGACCCAAGGCCCTAACCCCTAAACCCTAAACCCTACACCCTAAACCCTAACCCTAAGACCCTGAACAGGTGATCCAGAAGCTGGACCTTGCAGAGTGTTTTTTTTTTGAAAAAGAGCCGGAGCCTCGGCTGAGGATTTGAGGGTTTGGGTTTGGGATGTGGGGTTTAGGGTTTGGGGTTCGGGGTTTCGGGTTCAGGGGTTTTGAGAGTTTCGCGTGGTTCGGAATGAAGAAGCTTGGTTTTGGGGTTTGGGATTCGGGTTGTGTACCCGCAGAGCCCAGTCTCCAACAGGGATAAGAATCAGGCGGGATCTTGGGTCGGGTCTCTCTCTCCTCTCCTCTTCTCTCCTCTCCTCTCCTCTTCTCTCCTCTTCTCTCCTCTTCTCCTCTCTTCTCCTCTCTTCTTCTCTCTTCTTCTCTCTTCTCTTCCCTCTTCTCTCCTCTCTCTTCTCCCTTCTCTCTTCTCT